GAACATTCAGTTGTAAATGGAGATGTCTTTTAAACAAACAAATGTGTGCAACTAGTTTTAGGCAACTTGTAGTGATAGGTCAGCTAGACAGAGAAATTCATAAGTAAGAATCGAGCACAAATTGACATTCTTCGTGCGCATCGAGTGTGTAATGGTAAATTTTGCGAAGTCAACTGGGGGATAAGAATTGCACGAAGATGGTGATTATGAACTCGATTAGTCGCGAGCCAAATTGCATATGTCCAAAATAACACAAGAAGAATAAAACCTGAGGGAAAACCGGTCACAAATTTAGATATCGTTGCTGAGTTTTCGCTATCCAGTGTGGTGGGTATGGACGAAAGGTAGTATCTCGAAACTGGCGGGGTATCTTCAATTGCTATGGTTTCCATCACTCGGTTCTCGAAGAAGTTGAGGCATTTATCAGAAGCCATATCGAGAAAATCGCTTGACAGACAAACTGAACTGATTCGATAGTATCCGAAACGTAAAACCTCAGAGAGACGATGCATGGCAGATAAAGATAGCTACTCATAAACATGGTAACGAGATCTACTGCTTGATTAGATGTCCATAAAGAAGTAATTTCAAATCAGGGAGATTGCACCGATTCTTGGGCTTAATCTACACTAGTTGAATGGTGATTAAGCTTGAACGAAGCCATCAATAACCACGACCCAATACACGGCTACTACGCAGTATCCACTTGGCCATGCAAAGAAACAAAATGCATCCTCGAAATGAAAAGCTGAGTGGTCTTGAGGAAGGTTCTTGAACCAAATTCTAATAGAATTTGACGACCATCCATAAAATCGACTATTCTCTTCAGTGAGCTAGCCATAATCAAGAAAAATAAGGAATTATACTCACCTACTCAAGGATAAAGACCAAAATGATCGTCTTTCAAACTGACCCTTAGGATTATACTATTCCCCTGGTCACGGATTTGTGACAACAGTACACTAGGCCATGACAGAACTCTCCTCGCCCCCGTCATCCGTGGATACACACACTGCTGACCTGCAGTTGCCTCATCATCCAAAAGAACCGCATCAGAGACGCGAAGGCAGCGTACAATTTCTTTGGTCTTATACTACAACTCTAAGTGTGCGAACAGCTGTACCGTGATGTTCCGTTTGTCTTAACTCAATTAGACCCAATTCTCCCTTTCTGAGTCACACACACACATACACACGTAAACACTCGCCTTACATAATCACCTTTCCTTCGTATCTAGCGCATTGAAGAGGTAATGATTTGATTTAGATCATCCGACGACTATGATTAAACAGTAGGTTACAAAATAACTAAAGAAAGTTCCGGAAAAAGAGAAAACTGGAACCTCGCTACACATTTAGCCCACTCCGAACCAGGTACACTCTAAGTTCACAATCTTAGTAGTTAGTCCTTAATTCGGTTACAATGAATCGTCTACAATGAGTCCTATTGCGAATTTAGGCATGCGGTATATGTCAGCAAGTACGATCAGTCTGGAAATAAATGAATCGACTTAAGATAACACTAAAGCATTGGTGAGAGTCAACGACGGAATCCCTAGTCCACATGCACCATGAACAATTGCAACATATTCAGACCTTCATGGGTTTGCGGCGGGCAACGGATCCAGAACATATGCACCTACCCAAATGACGGGTTCAAATACAATTGCACTGTCATGGATGGCATCCGACTAACTTTCCGTTCATTATCACATACGGTACAGCAGATTGCTGGCCTCAAACAGTACACGACCGGTCCCCTCAGGTATGTAGCCTACGCGGTGGTGTTGTGTAACGCACTTCACAGGAAGAATTATTGAGATTATACTCGTTCAAGCGGTCAGTCAGGAAGGCAGGATGAAGAGCAACGAAACTTACCGTCAGCCTCCGATTTTCTGGCTGCGGCAGCCCTTGTGAGTGTGGCACCTTCGATTGGTGCGTTCCATGCGTGACGCAAATTTGTAGTTCCGCTCGCACTTGAATTGGTGCCAAAACCACTATCATTACCGATACTCGAGACAGTACCACTACAGCCACTACTTCCAACATTGTTACCGCCACCCCCGGAACCGGAACTTTGACGAGTCCGCGGTGAACAGACTTTAGTGCGCCAACAGCAAGGAGTGCATGCGGTGGGCGAGTTAAACCGACGATCGCCTCGTGTGTTGGTCTCAGCCATGACACAAGCGGTCGAATTGCTGGAAATATTGCGTGTGGACGGTGCACTTATTCCGTGACCCAAATGAATCCCATCGGTAGTGGACCGATGTGTGAAGCTGCTGGTCCCACTAGCTCCAGTGCTGCTTCCGCCACTACCAGATGATGTGCCACTGAGTGCGGAATTGCTAGCACAAGCTGAACGTGTGCCTAACGATGGTCCGGTGGCAATGGCAGCGTTGTTCATTGAATGGTACGCAGACGGATTGACTACACCGGAAATAGCCGATGCATGCCGAGCGGTCAGTGGAGCCCCAGNCATTAAGAGCGAGTTGATCATTACACCCGGTTCTGTTTTCACATTGGGCTTCTTGGTGGCTGTGGTGGTTTGTCTCGCCTCACGTCGACGAGCACGTTTCGCAATCTCCTTCATGTGTTTCGGTCCGGCACCCTTTTTGCTGTCCAAAACCTATAGAGGGATGGGAGATAAACGAGGAGAATCATAAAAACCGTGGTGAGGAAACCATATGTCCAACGACTATCCCAAGGTTGAACAAAATAAAGAAACAGAATAACAGAATACAACTTCATTGGAGTATGCACAGTTGATTATGGTGATCGATAAACGGTGTTTTAACGAGTAACGTTATCCGCAACGAGTATAATTGTTTCTCTCATTCGCTTCGTTCAGAATTGAGAATACGAACCCAACGCTAACACTTGAACCAGTTGTTTCTTTCCAGTGGTTACAAACTGTTGTTAGTCTAATTGACAACATGCCTCCGAAAGCCTCAGTATGGTTGACGAGATGGGTGTCTTGGACTATGGTTTGTCATTCTTCTTTTGCACCTCAAAAAAATGCTCCTATACGACAAAGCGTCTCAAATCGCCTCAATCACTACCTCCTCCAGGCCGCCAAAGTGAGAGGACAAAAAGCTAATATCCGAGTGAGTGAATCACTGGCACTTCATCCAAATCGACCAAGAACATGCGTACGAACCACAGTCACCCACACGTTCTTGGTTGTGTTAACCTGTTAAAAATCCGCATGAACTCGTTCACGAAACCAACTTATGCACACACACACACACACAGAGGATAAAATACAGAACAGGATCTATGATAGTTAAGGAGGTTAGGAACACCACCAAACCAACCTTCGTGATTCCTGATTTTCTGGTGATTGTGCAGTCAGTTAATGCAATTTCGGTCTCCCGAAACGGACTGGGACACTAGTTTCCATATAGAACGCATATCGTGAGATCTGTTTGGCTAGTCGGGGGCAGTATGTCACTCCAAATCTCAAACCGATTGACGTTTTGAATTAGTTTCTCGAAACTAATCATAAGGAATCACATGGCGCAAATTCACAGAAAAACAGCTAACCCATGAAGTAATGGGACACAGCGGATATATACTAAACAAAGAACGTTGAAAGCAATTGAACAGTTAAAAACTAGCACCACAGAAGATGATTGATCAAGTCAGCATAGATGTTTCGACTGTAGTATTACAACGATCAGTCGATCAAGTTAATATAACCACGAGCGGCTGTGAACACGATTGACTCAAATTAGTGGAGTGCGTCTTTCGTTTTAAACATTACTGTCTAAAGACAAAAATAGATTACCGTAGACGTGAATCGATTGGTTGTTCTTTCAAGCACAAACAGGGACGTTTCCACTTCATTGTTTTTGTTATCATAAAAAACGCAAAGCGCTAGAAAAAGCTAGTCTTCGCACTCGAAAGTGCACACGATTTCAGTCGACCAGGGTATAGTGCGGGATCGGTCGTTTGTCACATCTGATGAGCGCTAGTGTTTATGTTTCGCACAGACCCGGCTCAAACCCAATCCCAAGTGTGTCTGTGTCACACACATAAACACATACATATATATATATATATACTACTGGCTGATTGTGATGCTTTCTTTCTGATCAAATTGAGTCTTATTATATTTATCACCTATATTATTGCTTTAGGTATGAACAATAAGTTATCTCTTGTCTACTTCGATCTACGTATTTTCTAGGCTGCATGATAGTAAAATTAAACGTGCTTGACCTTGGTTGTCAAGATTAAATAATCTCAACATGAAAATCGCAAACTTTATCAATTATGAAGATGCAATATATTATAATAGGAGCGACTCAAGTATTATCCCAAATTATTTCCATAAACCCTTGCCTTATCGGTTATTTGTTATGAGGCATTATTTTATCAAATCCACAATGGCAACTCCACTGAACAACAAAATGAAATCCTTTCTCAACCCGGGGAAATCGCATTAAAAAGATTCCATAAGAATAATCTACGTTTGTTGGCTCATTCACTGAATTCGCGAAATACCATTTTAACCAAAGTCAACCTTGAAATCGAAGTCGTTTTGTGCACAGATTTGAACGTTCTCGCGGTTATCACCATAACGAAGCCAGCAGCGCTGGAAACCAAAAGCTCTCGTTATCTCAGTGAAGAGGGCAGAAATAGAATTGCAAGAGCACACAAGCTAAGATTTCTGACATCAAATCTTGCCCAATGCTTTGATTTTGTTATTTGTTTTGTTTTTTTGTTCATAAAGTACCAGAAGGATGAACGAACGGGAGCACCCACACATGGGAGACAGAAATGCACAGTTGATGACTGTTCAAAAGGAAACAAAATACCATGCACTGTACAGCTTGGTGTGTGCATGAATAATCAATACACAGACGTCTGGTTGCAACACGATCTTTCTTGTTGTTGTCGTTATTCTAAACCTGAAGGAATCCTGTCTCCACACACAGAATAATCCGCAGTGTCAACCAAAAAAGTTGGACTTTATGATGAAAGAGTGAATACGTTATTACAAAACACATCGATGAATTGAGGAGAACAACTGAACTCGGTTACTGACAAACAACCGCTGGCTCGATGGCATCACTGGCAGGTATTGCATGATGACCCAGAAAGAGCACAGTAAGATAGTCGATTCATTCCTGTTGGGTCTGGTCTGAGTATTATTTTGATGACCCAACCTCACTCCCCAATTCGGGGAAACGAAACACAAACCTTCTGGTCGGGACTCGAGACTGTCTGAACCTTGTTGTACGGCCAACCAATAAGGCGAAAGGTCTGATCGATGAACAGTGACGCTCGGATGAGACACTCGATTTTCAAATGGCACTAGATAAAGTGTAAGGGAGTAGTCGCGGTTTTTTTTTCTAGATTGCATCTGAGAGACGAGTGGTATATGCTCAATACGTGTAAACGCAGGTGATCTGTGCCCCAAACTATTGCTACACTTTATCCCAATAGATAATTCGCTTGCAGAAGAGAAAAACATCTGATTTGTACGTCAAACTTTTGTATTATACAGCAGACGGAGAAAGCCTCATAGTCATGAGGATAGACTGTTCACAGATTAGAAGTCTTCGATCACTCTAGGAGTACGATGGAGGCATAAGCTATCAAATGATCAGAAATCAGTGTTTTAAGTTTGTACGGCTGAGGACGCTAATGCATCGGCGGAGACCACAGTGATTTGGCCACATTCTTTGTAAGTCCGATAACGACCTGACAAAAGCTATCTTGGCACCGCCTCGCTGCCCGAACTGGGGCTGTCGGCACGGTGGACAGCTGAAAACCTGGCCTGACACGATACGAAAGGATACTGGAAACCTTGGTCTTCATTCCGTCTACGGCGTTCGACAATGGATGTCAAGCTACATCTGCGCTGATTTTGCCGCAGATCGCCGATCGTGGGCAGTGGCAATTCGAGATATCCATGAAGCCGGATTATCCTCTCCCAGGAGCCAGCCGCCGTAAAGTAAAGTAAGTAAGCTCTTCGCACCCTTTTCTTTGTGTATGCATTATACATTTGGGGGGGGGGATAGTAGAATAGAAATAAAGAATTGTGTATCATCGGATAGAGAGCATCAATCGGTCGACCAGAGATAACTGAGCGAACAGGACAAATAGTTGTTTTCACAACACACTTCCGTATGATGAACAGCAGACGAGGAAAGCTCCATGGTCACGAGGACCTGTTGTTCAGTGATGGAAACCGATAACCGGTAAGCCCAGGAGCTTGGAGTGGCGAACCACATAAGGCCCCCAATAGGTTAGGTGTGGTGTTGAACCGGACGACAGCACAGCTGCCTACCACCAAAGCTGGGTGGCGGTGGTAGTGTTGCCATGATTTAAGCTTGCACTAGCGGATATTGGAATCAAGACTCCGGTGATTTGTCCGTTCTTCTCCCGTACCGGCCGACAAACAAGAGTCGGTGGGATGGTACCAGTTGCAACATGAAATGTGACTCTGACCCGATGAGAAATCAGATCGTCAAACAGAAATGATCCTATACAATTGTGATGGCCAGTTGGTGAATTCATCGAAAAACAGCATGTTTTACCTACCGGACTTTGTTTTCAACGTCGATGTTGTCAATCGCTGTAAAGAGGTTCGGGGATTTTCCATGTGAGGTGCTGTGGTTTCAGTTTGGGAGAAGTTTGTGATCCACCGAAATAATTCGTGGTTCGCACAGAGTTTAATTATATATATATATATATATATATACCACGTAATAAATTACATAGAATTGGCAAATGTGCCAAACTATATGGAGATGTATCGTTTGAACCCCAACCCGGGAGTCCCACCAGCACCAGTTTTGAGGTCAACACCTTCATCGTTCGAGTCCAGGTTATTCGTTGTCCACCTTGCCGCCACTTCCAGTTTGTGTCGGCTTGAGCAAAGATAACACGGTGGGGAAATCGTTGAGCCGGCATCCGCAACACATGCCCCAGCCATCAAAGTCTGTGGCGCGAGATGATGGCATTCAGGGAACGACTGAGATTGTCTTTAACCCAACAAGCTACACAGGGTGACTTTATTCAAGCCGAAGATCTAATCATGCCTGGAAGGCCAGATGGTGGAGGCCAAACCAAGTCCAGTCTCCTGGTTCTTCCAGGTTGGTTCGACTTGAACTGGTCTCTCAGTCGGTAAAAATGCCGGAGTGGTAATTGCTTCAAGTAAAGGAGCCTCCATTTTGCCTTATCTGTTGTCTTGTCGTTAGGTTCTTGTCAGAACCAAAGGATTTTGTTGAGTACCGTAATCGTTTTCCAACTTAGTGGGTGGACATCCTAGTAGTACCCATTCATGAAACTCCAATGAAAACAAGCAAAAAATAATCCCGTACTGGATTGATCGTAGCGCAGGATAACCAGGACCGCGCTGCCTATTGCGTTGAGCCAGAAGGATAGTGATAAGTGGGTTGCTGCTCAGACGTTCCCACCTTTATTTAACTGTCTTCTGCACCTTACCCCCGTCCTTTGTCCCTTTTTCCGATCCATGATGTCCCATCAGGCAACTCGTTTTCTATTCACCAAAAACCGTTGCCAAATAGCACTGTAAGTAGTTTACCAGTAAATAAAGTGCATATTTTAAAGCCTCGTCAACCTCTCAATCTGGGGGCCTTCAACGTGAGGACT